GTGTTTTATTCTTGTTGCTTCCAATGTTTTCTCCTTAACCTGGGAGCTTTGAAACTTGGCTACAATATTCCTGTAAGTTTTCCTCCTGAGATCTCTTTCAGGTGGTGATCGGTGGATTTTTTCTATTTCTACTTTGCCTTCTTGTTGTAGAACTTCAGGGAAATTTTCCTTGATAATTTCTTGTAATATTGTATCAAGATTCTTTTTTTAATCATAATTTTCAGCTAGTCTGACTATTCTTATATTATTTCTTTTCCATCTGTTCTCCAGATCAGTTGTTTTTCTGATGAGATGTTTCACTTTCTCTTCTATTTTTCATTCTTTTGGTTTTGTTTTATGGTTTCTTGGTGTCTTAGAATGTCCTTAGCTTCCTCTTGTCCAATTCTAGTTTTCAAGAAATTCTTTTCTTCCTTAAGTTTTTGGTTCTCTATTTCCAGTTGGTTGACTTTTTTTTCATAATTTTCTTGATTTTCTTGCATTGCTCTTATTTTTTTTCTATTTTTTCCTTGATCTCTCTTATTTAATTTTTAAACTCCTTTTTAAGTTCTTCCAAGAATTCTTCTTGTGCTTGGGACCATTTGATGTTTCTCATTGAAAAAGAAGTGGCTTTTTTTTTTTTAGCTCTGTTATCTTCCTCTGACTATGAACCCAGATCTTCTCTACCCCTATAATAGCTATCAATGGTTGGGTTCTCTCTCTTTTGCTTACTCATTTTTATCTATTTTTTTTGTTTTATTTTGTTTTTAGCAGCTACTATTGTAATCAAGTTGTAGTCCCAAGGTATGGGGAATGATGCCCCAAGCCTCAGGTCCTTCTTAATGTTATTTTCTGAGGTCTGTCTCAGGGCCCAACCTTGGACTCTCCTCTCAATTAAGCCATGGCTAGGGCCTCTAACCACACTGTCCCGAAAATGATCTTGCTCCCTTCGGTCTCTCCGGTGGCTGCAAACTGCAGTTGTCCTCTCCGCCCCGGAACCGAAACCAGGGACTCTGCTCTCCTGCTAGTGCCCACTGCCAACAGGGCTGCTGCCCTTCACTACTCCACTTACCCAGTGCGTGCTCACTCCTTCTCCCTGCAGCCACAGTCTGGGATGAGTCTGATCAGCATAGCTGTGCTTGGTGTCCCTTGACTGTGGAAGGTCCTTCAACCTTCTACTCAGCAGTCAGACCCCCACACTGTCCTTGAGATGAAAGTTTCTAAAGCTGAGGCTGCCCGTCAACCCAGCTGCCACCAGGGCTTGTGTGTCGATTCTGTACAGTCAGCCTGGAGGTATTTGCACTTCACTCAGGCCAAACCTTGGCCCCTGGAGATTGGGTCATTCCTGGGGTCTTCTCAAATTGTCTTAGGAGGACAATTGCTTTATGCTATATTTATTTCTGCTGTTCTGAGGTGATGTTCTGTCTTTTATTTTGTAAAGGAAATTTGGAGAGTTGAAAATTTTTCTGACCTCCTCTACCATCTTCCCAGAATCCTCTCCCGATCCCTTTTGTATTCATCAATGGTATAGGGGAAGATGGATTGTACTTAAGAGTCATGGAGTGTGGTCTCTACCAAGTACTTCCTCAGTTGCCTCGCCTGTAAAATGAGGGAGTTGGACTGGATTGCCTCCGTGGTCCCTCTGCTCTGGCTCAGCTGGGAGTGGTCTGCCAGATCCCTGCGGTCTGTTGCTTCCCCACACCCTCCTCTACTTCCCAAAGATTCTGTTATTCCCTACTAAACCTCTGCCTGGCTGCTGATTGTTGACCTTTTGCCTCTCCCCATACATCAAAGGGCTTCTAACCACCAAGTTTAGAGCAATGTTCCCATACTGACACATTGCAGAAAAGGGTTCTGCCATTTATACTTGAGGCCATCTGCACACTGTTCAGATTTCCACGTAGATTTCTGGCTCTAATGTGCCTAGACCCATAGTGTTAGGAGGGGATGCTAGAATGATCAGTCTGGGGTAGGTAGCTCTGGTCTTCAGGTGCCACTTTTAATGAGGTTAAACTGTTAACGGGGCATTGATACAATGGGAAAAGAAAGAAAAACCATAGAAATGTAAGAAGCTTTCATAAAAGCTAGAGACCGAGAGGCTATTTAAAGCCTCCATAGGAAAAAGTATTCAGTTCACTAGGCATTTTCAAAGCATCTGTTTTATGAAAGGCACTGTGTTAGGTAGTGAGGATAAAGAGATTTAAAAATGACACACTCCCTGCTGTCCTGGAGTTTCTGTTCTACTGGTGGGTGGAGAAGGGTTGAGGGTGGATCATGGAATATGAAATGTGCACAGATAAGAATAATGTCATAGCTAGCTTTTATTTATATAGGACCTAAAGGGTTTACAAAGCAGGCTTTACATATACAATCTCATTAGATTCTCACAACCACCCTGTAAGGCAGGTTCTCTTATTATCCCCTTTTTACAGATAAAGGAACTGAAGTTGAGGGGCAATGGGATTTTCCCAGCCAGTTGGTAGGTGATTGAGGCAGAATTTGACACCCCTCCCTACTCCTTCCTGATTCTAAGCCCATCACTCTATCCACTGCACCACCTAGCTGCCAATGATGCTATCATCATGTGATGGGGCAAAGAAAAGAACCAAAGTGTTCTAGGAAACTGAATACTGAGAACATCTTTCAACTGGAGGGAATCAGAGAAGGCTTCATGATGCAGGTGGCTTCTGAGTTGAGTCTTGAAGAAAGAGAATTATTCTAAAAGGTAGAAATGAGAGGGGAGTGAACCTCACACCTAGGGGACAGCCTATGGGAAGGCATAACATTTGGGATGGCCTGGTGAGTTTAAGGAGCAGTTAACACAGCGAATCAGCATTTCCATATGGGGTGGTTACAAAGTCCTTATATAGCTTTAACCTTTACTAACTTTAGATGTACACATGATAGAAACACATCGCAAAGGGCGTAAAAAGTGAATTCTTCAAGTTTTATGCATTAGTGCTGTTAACTTTGCCTTAGTTAATTTCTATTTGTTTGTGAGTGACAACTGAGAAATATTTTCAGCCGGTTGGAAAAGGGGTTTTGAAAAATGTATCACAAATGACGGCGATTCTGTGGAGTGTTAGTTCAGGCTTAATATTTTAAAAATATTTTACAACAAAATTTTAAATTTAAAAAATTATAAATGCCATCAAAATGCTTAAAATTTTATGTCATTTACAGTGCGTTTCTATCATTGTCATTTTAAAATTATTAAGCATGAAAGTTGCACAAAGAATTTATAATCACCCTGCAAAATAATAGCAAAACTCAGGAAGTCATAACAGAACGGGAAAGTCCATTCAAAATAATTACAAAAAGAGTAAACGTTTGGGAGTCAATCTCCCCAAGCAATTCAATACTCATGCATTTGTTTACAAAGCTCTCCTTAAAGAAATAGAGCACAATTTAAAAAGCTGGAGATTATTCAATGGTCACCGCTGAGTGGCGCCCAGAAAATAAAAGTGACAATACTCCCAAAGTTAATTTCCAGATTTAGTGGAAATTCAATTCCAAAGGACATGTTGCTAGGCTAGATAAAATAATACCAAAATTGATTTGGAACAAAAGAACTAGGATAGCAAGGTAAACAATGAGAAAAAGGTAGGAATGAAGTGGGGGTAGCTCTTCCAGACTTCAGCTATTATTATAAAGTAGGAATCATCAAAACTATTTGGTACTTAGGTAAAAAATAAAAAAGCAGATTAAAGGAAAGGACTGCCAAATGGCCCAGTTTTACTGAGATGTCAGCCATGTGAAAGGCAGTAATATGAAATAAGGAAGGAAAGGTAGTCGGGGGAAAGATGGTAAAAGGCTTTAGCACCAGACTAGAGTTCATATTTTCTCCCAAAGACAGTAGGACACCATTGAAGATTTTTGAGCAAGTGACAGTAATTTCAGTTCAGTTTTTTTTTTCCTTATCCAACTCTTCATAACCACATTTGAGGTTTTCAGGGTAGAAATACTGGTGTGATTTCCTTCTCCAGATCATTTTACAGATGAGGAAACTGAGGCAAACAGGATTAAGTGACTTGTCTAGGGTCACACAGCTAGTAAATATCTGAGGCTGGATTTGAATTCAGGAGGATGAGTCTTCCTGACTCCAGGCCCAGCGCTATATCCACTGTGCCACCCAGTTGCAAAAGGAATAATAACGATAATACTAACATATGTATATATTTATATGCATATATATGTAATAGTTAGCATTCATATAATGCCTACTATGTACCAGGTGCTGTGACAAGTACTTTAGAAATATCTCATTTGACTCTCACAACAACCCTGGGAGGTAGATGCTCTTATTATCCCTTTTTACAGTTGAGGAAACTGAGGCAAATAGAGGTTAAGTGACATTGTCCAACGTCACAGAGCTAGGAAGTGTCAGAGTCAAGTTTGGAACTCAGGTCTTCCTGACTCGAGGCACAGAGCTCTATCTTTTACTGCCTCTGGCACCTGGTGGTCTCATGATGCCCTTTTCTCTCCCCACCAGGAGGAATGATATCTGATAAGTTTATGAGCAGAATGGTATTTATAATAGCTAGCATTTCTGCAGCCCTTTAAGGTTTGTATAGTACTTTATATATGTTATCTCATTTTATCCTCACAACAACTCTTAGAACTTAGTACTATTATTATAGATAAGGAAGCTGAGGCAGACAGAACTCAGATGACTTGCCCAGGGTCACACAGCTAGTAAGTGACTGAGGCAGGATTTGAATTCAGTGCTTCCTGACACCAGGCCCAGCACTCCATTCACTGCATCATCAGCTACCTATAGAGTATTGGGTTTGGAAAGAACACTGAGCTTAGTTTATAATTCAGATTTCCAAATGAGGGATGCCTAGGCAGGGGAAACACCTTTGTGCAGGAGACTCAATGATTTAGTCAATAAACATTTGTTAAGCACCTATTGCATGCGAGACACTGTACCAAGCCCTAGGGATACATAGAAAGGCCTTTCCCTCAAGGAACTCACTGTCTAATGGGAATATTAATCCAATGACTGCAAACATTTTGCCTAGATGGGGTTCCTGGACCGGGAGAAGACATTGACCTTGCTGGAAAACTTCTATGACAAAAGCCCGAAGATGGTTAAAAAGCTATTCCGGAACCCAAGATATTGTAAGTAAAACAATAGGTGGGGTAGTCTGTCAGGCCAAGGTGGTATATTAATACCATCTCCAACACTATTGTGATAGCATTGGTTCAAGGTCGTGTTACCCCGACACAAATACCTTACCCCATTAGCTGCTTTGGTGGAAGCAAAGCTGTGACTAGGACAGAACAATTGGGGCTTTCCCCTAGGGTGCAGAAATTTAGAAAACATTGTAATGTACTTTTTAAATAGCATAGAAACAACTGAGCTTAGCACTTTATCTAGCAAGAAAAATTAGTTAAAATGGGAAACTACTATTGTGTCTCACCCTACTTCCCAACACATTTTGCTCAACTGCAATCACCCTAAAATGTTGGTTCAAGGGCAGCATTTTGTGCCGTTTGTCCCATATGTAAAAATGACGGCTTATGACTCTGTATAGTAATTGTATAGTAACTGTAGCCTTAAAAATTACTTAGTCTCAGAGATAGATATCCTTTTCAATGGTGCCATGAGAAATGTGCTCAACTAGAACTCAACTCCCAGTTACTTAACATTAAAACACCATTTGGTTACTAGCTAAAGTTATTTAAACATGCTTTGCAGAGGTAAAAGCCCATGGGTATGGAGCACTGTATATATTGTTGGACTTGGTTGGTGTGTTTGTTTTGCTGAACCATTTTTTTCTCCTCCTTTTTTGTTATTTTTATAAGGCATGTCTCTCTGGGTAGGGGAGGTAGTAGATATATTAAGAAATGAAGATGATATAAATTTTTTAAAAAGCTATTAAAATTAAATAAATAAATAAATAACAAAATTAATATATTACTACAAATACATTATATATGTGTATGCAATTGCAAGAGACAATTGTGCCTGGACTATCCAGAATTTTTAAAAATATGTCTTGGATTTCTAAAGAAAAAATTTCCTTCTGCACCAAATGCATTTTTATTTATTCTAATAAAACTAGCTAATTTGATGGACTTATTCTTTGGTTTTTAAAAAAAAATTTTTAAATGGGGAAAACTTGGGAGGTAGAAGTACCCAAGGGGTACAGTCAGAAGGACCCTTGACACTCTATATATAATCCTTCATTCAACTTAGAGTCTATGGTATCAGGTATCCAAGTGAAAATTTGAGAATTGTTTTATTTCAAAGGAAGTCACAACCAGAGGTTGTGTACCTTTTGTTTTTGCCATCTGAACCAAAGCCCTTTCTTTATTTTCAAAAGTAGTAGAGTGGAGGGAGTGGCACATTTGGAGTCAGAAGGTCTGAGTCAAAATCCACCTCTGCAGTTTATTACTTCTGGGCCCTTAAGTGAGTTGTTTAACTTCCCTTGGCCTCAGTTTCCTCTTTTCTAAATTGAGTGAGTTGACTTAAATGTCCTCTAAGATTCCTTCCAGCTCTAGAGCTGTCACCCTATGAATAAATTGCTTATTATCTGTGTGCCCTTGGGCAAATCTCTTGGTCTTAGTCCTTCCTGTGTAAAACAAGGGAGATTGGACAAGATGGTTTGTAAGTTCCTATCCAACTCTAAATCTATAATCCTCTCATCTTCTAAGTAAAAGAGTTGGGTTTTTGACTGACAGTAACAACCAGCTCACCAAAAAAAGTTAGCAATAGGAGAAGATTATTGATTGGGGTGTCCTTATCTTCCTTTTATCAGTCATGTTAGGTGTCCCCAATGTGGTCATCTTGTCAGTTGAATGCCTTGCTTTCTGTTCTAGGGCCATTTGTTGACTTTGGAGACATAGAACCAGCTGAGCTCTGGGGAGACTTGGATGATGAGAGGAGCCCTTTTGAGTCATCAGAGCAAATAAGTGCAGCAGAGATGAGGAGACCCCTTTTCGACATTGGGAAGCAATCTTCCCAGTACTACTCAGAAGAGGCTGAAGAGGAGGAATATGAACACAAAATCATTAGCTGGCCTCCCACTCCTATGACCTATGGAGATGACTCAGAGCCACAAGAAACAATGAATGATGAGGAAGAAGTGGATCCTAAGGATGTGATGAGGTCCTCAGAACAGATGCAGGATGATGTGGGTTCCACGGAGGAGTTACCTCTAAAATCACAGACTAAGAAAAGACTAAGTCAAGAAGCAAAGCAGGGAGAACCTTCCACGGAAGAGGGAGAATCATCTGCAAAAGAGGGAGAACCATCTGAAGAGCAAGGAGAACCAGCCAAAGAACAGGGGGAACTGGCCAAAGAAGAGGGGGAACCGACCAAAGAGGAGGGAGAAGCAGCCAAAGAGAAGGGGGATCCAATCAAAGAGGAGGGGGAACTGGCCACAGAGCAGGGGGAACCGGCCAAAGAAGAGGGGGAACCGATCAAAGAGGATGAAAGGCCTGCCGAGCCAAGTTCATCCAAGGGTTCGGTAGTAAAACAGAGAAACTCTGTAGAAGAGAAGAGGGACTCCAGGATGGGAGCAAGAAAACCCTCAGGGGGACCAGCGAAGGAGAATGGATCAGCAACAGAACAGAAAAGCTCGACCACAAGAGTACCAGAGCCTGGAGAAGAGCAAGAAGAGCCTTCAAAGAGGCCACGAGAACCATCAATGTCTGCAGTAGAGACCGGACCACCACCCACAGAGAAGAAAGCATCAATAGAAGGGAAAGAAGTCAGTTCCCTGGAAGAAAGCACCATACTCCAAGAGCAAAGCAGCCAAAATATCTCCACAGATTCTCCAGTGGAAGAGAAAGTTGAAGCGCAGCTCAAGGACTCCAAGTCAACCACAGAAGAAAACCTCCCAGGTAAGAATATATTCCCTGATCCGTCACTGACTCATTTTTTATTGACCCTAAATGTCTTTCCTAATACACAGCTACTGGACACCATTGCTACACTTCACTTGTATTCTGGACTTGCCAATCTTTTGGCTTCTCAGCACTGCTTCTTCAGAATAAATTATTTTGCCTGGGTTTTCCTTTTGTGCTGGAATTCCATTTATAAGGAGAAAATCTGACCACATTAAGAATAGAAGTAATTCTTCATTTACTTGCTATGGGTTATATCAGCCAGCTAGCCAGGGGAGCATTCAGATTGGGAAATGCAGTAAGAACACTTGAGCTCTGAAATTGTGGGGTCTGATGCCAGGGAATTGGTTTTTTAAAAAAAATTTGAATTTTTAAATTTTTAAAAAAGGAAAACTGCCCTGATATTTTAGAACCAGAGAGCAAAATAGAAATTGAAAGAATCCACCTGATCACCTCCAAAGGAAAACTCCTAGGAATATTGTAGCCAAATTCCAGAGTTCCCAGGTCAAGGAGAAAATATTACAAGCAGCCAGAAAGAAACAATTCGAGTATTGTGGAAACACAATCAGGATAACACAAGATTTAGCAACTTCTACATTAAGTGACCAGCAGGGCTTAGAATATAATATTCCAGAGGGCAAAGGAGATAGGACTACAACCAAGGATCACCTACCCAGCAAAACTGAGCATAATTCTTCAGGGGAAAAAATGGTCATTCAGTGAAATAGAGGACTTTTAACCATTCTTGATGAATAGACCAGAGCTGAATAGAAAATTTGACTTTCCAATACAAGACTCAAAAGAAACATGAAGAGGTAAACAAGAAAGAGAAATCATAAGAGACTTATTAAGGTTGAACTGTTTACATTCTGCATGGAAAGATGATGCTTGTAACTCATGAGACCTTTGTCAGTATTAGAGTAGTTGGAGGGAAAAAATTACATGTATGTAGATAGATAGATAGATAGATAGCACATGGTGAGTTGAAGAAGAAGGGATGATATCTGGAGAATAAAATTAAGAGGTGAGAGAACATTATACAGAGAGAAGGAGAAAGGGAGAAGTAGAATAGGGTAAATTACCTCACATGAAACAGACAAGAAAAGGCTTTTACAGTGGAGGGGAAATGGGGGAAGGTGAGAGGGAATGAGTGAATCTTATTCTCATAGGATTTGGCTTAAGGAGGGAATAACATTCACAATGGGGTATGGAAATCTATCTTAACCTACAGGAAAATAAGGGGGGAAGGGAACAAGAGAGCAGGGGTTTGATAGAGGGGAGGGCAGATTGGGGGAGGGGGTAATCAGAAGCAAACACTTCTAAGGAGGGACAGAGTAAAAAGAGAGAATAGAATAAATGGTGGGGGTGGGATAGGATTAAGGGAAATATACTTAGTTTTTCACAACATGATTACTATGGAAGTGTTTTGCATGACTACACATGTATAACCTGTATGGAGTTGCTTGCCTTCTCAATGAGGGTGGGTGGGGAGGGAGGAAGGGAGAAAATTTGGAACCCAAAGTTTTAAGAACAAAAAGTTAAAAAAAAATTGTTTTCACATGCAACTGGGAAATAAGATATACAGGAAATGAGGTATAGAAATCTATCCTGCCCTACAAGAAAATTGAAGGGGAAGGGGATAAGAGAAGGGGGGGTAGATAGAAGGGAGAGCAGATTAGGGGAAGGGGTATTCAGAACGCATGCCATCTTGGGGTGGGGGGAGAGACGAGATGGGGAGAAAATTTGGAACACAAAATCTTGTGGAAGTAAATGTTGAAAACTAAAAATAAATAAATTAATTTTTGAAAAATTCCTTTAATTCCATTTCTAAAAGAGATTTTCTACTTTTCTCCTACATAGAAGATGTCATGTGTTGTGACAGAATTTAAATTGGGCTACTTCAAGGCACTCAGAGAAGGCTCTGTGGCTTGCCACAAACATCAATCTGGGAGCCGTTTCCTTTTGAACTTTCCTTTATTTTCTTAACCTGTTGGGTGAGGTCAAGATCACATCAGGGTTTGTTTGTTTGTTTAAATTGTACCAAAAGGTAATGGACTCAATATGCAGAAAGATACATATATTTTTGCACTCAGGCCATGGGGTAATTGACATTTCTGACTGTGCATATTTTGGTTTTTATTACCAGAGTTTTAGAAAATAAATGCTTGGTAATTGAAAAAAATGTAAAAATTTATACCATCTACCTCTGAGGTCCCACAACCCCACTAACCCTAAATACAGTAATCTAGTTTAAAAAGCAGTGGCTAGGGAGATAGGTGACTCCATCACATCAGCCTAGTGTAGGGGAAGGCCTGGCACACCTGGAGTCAGGAGAAGTTGGCATTAGAAGCCCATGCCTTGGGTTTTCTAGCTATACAAACTTGGGTAAGTTGTTTAAACTTTGTGCCTCAGTTTCCTTATCTGCAAAATGCGTATACTAATACTTGTATGACCTTCCCTAAGACCCTCAAGTCAAGTCTAACTTTTGGTATATGGACTCTCAGTGTTCTAGGCAGTTCTTTGCAATTCTAGGTCCCAGAGAAGGTGTTGACCTGGATTGGGAGAGGGAGTTCTCTTCACCTATAAAATAACAGGTCTAGTCCCTAACCCTATCCTATAGAAATGTGATCTGCTCCTACTACTGCTATTGCAATCTTTCCTGTGGCTGGGCCTCAGTTTTTCCCAGCTGTAAAATGGAGTTAGCCTCTCCTTACCTCATAGGAATAAAGATAATACAAGTAGCAACTGATCTTGGAATTATCATTAATAATCACAGTTATTGAGTGAGCCCTGGTGTTGGCACACTAATGACAAGTCAGGCTACACATGGAAAGATGTCTCTCTGAGGAGGTTTTTATCACCAGGATGTGGGTGATTTCCCATACTGGAATAATTACTGGCAAGTATTTCATCTTTCATGGCAACCAATTCATCGGTGGTTTCCTTTTACAATTTTCAGAAACTGGAGACAAAGACACAACCTGTGAGCCCAGGAGCCAGCTAATAGAAGGGAAGCCATGGTCAGGTGACTCTACCTTTAATTGTCCCTTCCTTTGTCCCTTGGCACACAGTTCCATTGGATGAGAAAGATATTGGGAAAAAGAAGGTATTTACTTGTCTCTGTTCTGGTCTTCTGTGTTCTTTCAGGCGAACTCTTAACTTCTGACCTGAGTAAGACGTATATGAAATATGGAGAAAACAAACAGGCTTATTCAGTCTCCGATGACCCCAGGTTCTCAGGTACCTGACAGCACGGAGTCCACGAAGAGATGAATGGCTGTCAGTGGATGGATGAGCAAAGAGACTAACTCTGATTACCGAGTAAACCCATTCCCTAGGGTGGTGACCAGCCCCGTCCACCTTCTTCCTCCACTAGTAGTAAAAACAAATTCTCTTTGCTTCCTTTCCTTCTCCCCTGATTGTTTTTGGGTCATAATGATGTTCAAGGTCAGGTCATGTAAGACACCTAGTACTCTCAAAACATTAAAAGAGGTGGAGGGTAGGGGAGAAGTCATGACATTGGGAAAATGCTTTAGGAACTTGTGTGTGTGTGTGTGTGTGTGTGTTGTAAATATAGCTTAGAGGCAGCATAGCCAGGGTGAATAGAGAGCCAGCCTCAGAGTTAGGCAAAGCTGAGTTCAAATCCTTTATCTAAGACACTGTATGACCCTGGGCAAGTCTCTTAACATCTGAGTGCCCTAGGCAACTCTCTAGTCACTCAACAAGCATATAATAGTAATAACAACAACAACAAGTAGCATTTATATTTTTTTAAACAAGTACTTTAAGGTTTAGAAAGCACTTTATTAATAAGTACTTAGCTATATACTGGGGGGGCAGCAAGTACAGTGGCTAGAGCACTGGTCCTGGAATCAGAAGGACTTGAGTTCAAATCTGGCCTCATATATTTACTAGCAATGTGACCCTGGGCAAGTCACTTAACCCCATTGCCTCCAAGAAAAAAAAGGGGAAAAAAACTCTATATACTGGGAATCATGCTAAGTGCTCTTGAGGATAGAAAAAGGTCAAAACCCAGCCCCTGTCCTCATGGAGCTCACAGAAAAGATGTTAACCCACACTGGAAGTTGGATTTTTCCTACATAGGAGTTCCATATGTTAATGAGACCACAGGTTCAGCGCTTATCAAATGAGATAACACAGATCAAACCATTTGGCTCTATATATGCTATCATCATCATCATCATCATTATTTCTATTCCTGAGTCCATGCCCAGCTGGAACTCAGTACTTGCCTACATTCTCCTCAGGCTTGGGGGATTTCTCTCTTGACCACATTGCTTCTGTTTCCTGCTGACCAGAGCTGCGTCCAATAATCCTCAAAATGTGGAGTCAGGAAGAGTCAAAGATGAGAAGTTTATTCACCAAGAACTACCTCACCGTGCCGCAGTTTGTTCAACTCCTGGAGATGTTTGTGGGGAACGGCGTCCCAGATGGCGTCATGAAGAAGTTCATCCACTTTTTAAAGAAGAATTATGTGGAGACCCATGAAGAGAAAATGAACCACTTGGAGAAGGTGAGTGTTGTGCGAAAAGCAATAGGTGAGGCCAAATTTTTGAGGGAAAAATGGCATTGTCCCAAGCCCGGCTGGCTTTCATTTCCTCTTTCTTTTGGTCTTTTTACCTTCTCCTCCCCCTCCCCCCAGATTTTGTCGCTTTATTTCCACACTTATTCAACAAGTCACTGAGTTACTCCAAGTCCATGAACTATTTGACCCAAAGCAAACTAATGTCACTTGGACTTTTAATTCCATGCAAAACAACGAAGTCTAGGGTCAAATATTTGACAAAACTGTTGCTCATTGATACCTAAGGCGTGCAAAAACATACTAGATTCAGAGAAGGCACAGAACCCCAAAAGTTTATCGAGACCATGGGCTCCAAACCATCTATCAACCTGGAATCTTTTGGTGGCTGGAGTACTCCCTTTAAGTGACTTGTATAATCAGATGTCTTTAAAATATAGAGAATGCGTTCCTTTTCTCACATTTTGTTGTTGTTTAATCATTTTTTAGTCATGTCCAACTCTTCATGACTCCATTTGGGGCTTTATTGGCAAAGATATTGGAGTGGTTTGCCGTTTCCTTCTCCAGCTCATTTTATAGATGAGGAAACTGAGGCAAATGGGGTGAAATGACTTGCCCAAGGCCACACAGCTAGGAAGTCTGAGGCCGCATTTAAACTCATGAAAATGAATCTTCCTGACTTCAGGCCCAGCACTCTATCCACAGCACCACCTAGCCCCCTCATTCTTCCCATGTTAACATGTTCTAATCCAATATAAAGATTTATATATGTCACCTTCCCCTTTAGATACAAATTCCTTAAAGACAGAGACCGTCTCTGCCTTTCTTTTTGTCCTCAGGCTATTAGCACAAAGCTTGACGTGTAATAAACCTTTGATAAATGCTTGAGGTTTGACTGATTGAACGCTCACATTCCCTGATTTTCATCTTCTGGGAACAACAGTGAATGGCAATCATTTCCCCATTTGGAGGTTTAAGGTCATCTTCTCTCTCTTTCCTCCTCCTCCTATCTGACTACTACTCTGCCTCCTTTGCTGGTTCCTCATCCATGTCATACCCTCTAACTGTGGCTGTCCCCCAAAGCTCTGTGCTAGGTCCATTTCTCTTTTTGCTCTAAATTTCCCTTGGAGATCGCATCAACTCCCATGGGTTCCATTATCATTTCTATACAGATGACTCTGAGCTCTATTTATCCAATCTTAGTCTCTTATGAATTTCCAACTGGACATCTTGTGCTGGATGTCCCATAAACATCTCAGCCTCAGCATGTCTAAAACGGAACTCATTCTCTTTCTTCCCAAAACACTTCCCCCATCTGAATTTCCCTATTACTGATAAGGGCACCATTGTCTTCCCTATCACCCAGGCTTCCAAACTAAGGCTCATCCTCAAAGCCTCATTCTCCCTCACCCCAAGAATCGAATTCATCACCAGATCATTTCTCCCTTCACTACACCTCTTCTATATGTCCCCTTCTCTCCATGTACATGACCACAACCCTTGCTCAGGCCCTTGTCACCCCTTGCTTGGTCTGATCCATCCTCCATACAGCTCCCAAGGGGGTTTTTCCAAATCAGTTTGACCATGTCACCCACCCCTAATCCCACCCTTTGCTCAGTGAGTTCCAGCAACTCCCTGTTACCTCCAGGATCAAATATAAACCCCTTTGTTTTGTGTTGAATGTCTTTCATAGGCTGGTTTTCTCCTATCTTTCCAGTCTTCTTATACTTGACTCCCCTCCACACACCTACAGCTCAGCTACACTGCCCTGTTTGCTCATTCTCAGACACAACATTCCATGTCCTGTATCTTTGCTTTCGGATTGGTCATCCGCCATACCAAGAATGTTCCATCTGGCTTCCTTCAAGGATTGAATCAAATCCCACCTTCTCCAGGAGACCTTTCTCAGTCCCCCTCCCCCTGCTAATACTTTACTTTTGTCTATTTACTTGCCATCTACTGTGTATGTATCTCATATCTACATAGTTATTTTGCAGCTGGGTGGTACAGTGGATAGAGTGCCAGGCCTGGAGTCAGGAAGACTCATCTTCATAGTTCCAATCTGGCATCAGACATTTACTATCTGTGTGATCCAGGGCAAGTTCCTTCACCCTTTTTACCTCAATTTCCTTATCTGTAAAATAAGGAAGGAAAAAAGGAAAAAAAGAAATGTGCATGGTAATTTTATTGTATATTTGAAAGGAATAGCAAGTTGTGCATAGTAGATTTGCAGTTTCATGTGCAGTCATCTTTTTTATTGAACTATGTTGTGGAAATGCTTGTTTTATTCCATAAATTAAAAATAAAACAAATTTTAAAATTTAAAAAGAGAAGGAAATTACAAACCACTCCAGTATCTTCACCAAGAAAACCCCAAATGGGGTCACAAAGAGTTGGACACAACTGAAAAACAACTGAATGACAGCACAAATCTAATTATTTATATGTTGTTTTACCATTAGAATATGATCTCCTTGAAGCCAAGGACTGTTTTTCCACCTTTTTTTGTATCCTCCACACTTACCTGTAACATGTCGTTCAGTCACGTCCAACTCTTTGTGACCCTGTGGACCATGTTGTCCAGAGGGTTTTCTTGGCAAAGATACTGAAGTGGTTTGCCATTTCCCTCTCCAGTAGATTAAGGCAAACAGAGGTTAAGTGACTTGCCCAGGGTCACACAGCTAGCAAGTATCTGCAGCCAGATTTAAACTCAGGTCCTCCTGATTCTAGGTCCCATACTCTATCCACTGAGCCATCTAACTGCCTCTACCTGTAACATAATAAGCACTTAATAAATGCCTTTTGACTGACTGGCATTTATTAAGTGCCTACTATGTGCTAGAAGCTGCGATGGTCATTGGGGACATAAAACCAAAAATTAATCAGGTCCTCCCCTCAGGGAGCTTACATTCTAATTAGAGGAGACATATGTGTGACTACATACATACAAATAAATGTATATATAAAATATAGCGACAGAGATTGGCCCTGTGATTCATAGGGAACTCCTGGATGAAAAAACACCCTCTGCCAATACACACTGGCAACTTCTAACCTTGGAGAGATGGCTGGAGCTTTGAGATATGTAGTGACTTGCCTGGGTTCACCAGCTAGGATGTGTCAGAGGAAGGACTTGAATTTGGGTCTTCCTGGTACCAATGCCAGCTCTCTATGGACCTCACCATGCTTTGTCTCTTGGCATACAAAATAACACATAAAATACATACAAATTGATGTCCTTTGGTGTCACATTGTAGCCCAAAGTAAAGTTATCTCTGTAAAGGACACATGACCTACTAGGAGTCATGTGTTTCCATCCTTTGCAATTCTTCTTGCTTCCTAGATTCATCAAGAGACTATGGAAATGCGAAGGAAGATACTCCTGGAAGCCCTCTTTCAGAAGTGGGATAATGAAGGTTCCGGCTTCCTGGACCTGTACGAGGTCGATAAACTTCTGTTTACCTACAAGAAAGGCATGGAGAAAGTATCGATGATGAAAGGTAAGGCAAAAGCCTTTTTGGACCGGGTCCAGCCAATCACCAGCTGAGTGGAACATTTCCCACTCGCAGTAGGGGCCCCCTACCCAGGAAAAACACTCGTGATTGTGGGTGAGATGGACCATAGAAGGATCCAACTCAGTGTAGGTCCCAGCTGACGATTCAAAGGCAAAACCTAAGTCTCTGCCCCAAAGGTCCTTCAATAATCAGATTCATTCTTTCTCAAAGAAATTCGGTCCCTATTTTCCTGGCTTGTAAAGGTGTATAGGATATATATGTGTGTGTTTACACATATGCAAACACATCTTTACATATATGTATATACATGTGTGTATTTACATATATGTATATACATATATAACATGTGTATGTGTGTGTGTGTGTATATACACATATATATCTCAGAGTTATAGGATCACAGATCTAGAACTAGAAGAAACCTTAGAGTCCAACCCTCTCATTTCACAGTTGAGGAAACTGAGGGAAACAGAGGTTAAATGACTTGCCTAGGGTCACACAGCTAGTGTCTGGGGCAGGATTTAATAATAAAAAATAAAAATTTAATTTCATAATAATAATATAATTTATATAGTGTCTACTAGGTACCAAGCTAAGTGCTTTACAAATATTTTCTTATTTGAGCCTCGTAACAATCCTGGGAGGTAGATGTTATTTTTTATCTTCCCTTTACAGTTGAGGAAACTGAGGCAAATGGAGGTTAAGTAACTTGCCCAGAGCCACACAACTAGTAAGTGTCTGAGACAGGATTTAATAATGATAAATAATAACTTAATTCAATAATAATAATAATAATATTTTAGTGCCTACTATGTGCCAAGCGCTATGCTAAGTGCTTTACAATATTTTCTCATCTGACCCTCATAACAATCTTGGTAGATAGATGCTGTTATTCTTGCCATTTTACAGTTGAAGAAACTGAGGCAAACAGGTCAAGTGACTTGCCCAAGGTCACATAGCTAGTAAGTGTCTAAGGCAGGCTATGAACCCAAGTCATATGTCCAATGTGTGTCTGAACAAAAGTCCCCTCTATGATACCCCCAATCACTAAGACTTCAAAGATTTCTAGTGTTGTCCAACTCACCATCTTCTGTGGTAACTGGAGGATTTAGATTCAAATTTCAATTATGCTTCTCATGGACATTATGACATTGGACAAGTCACCTCTCCTTGAGAAATCCCAATTTTCTTGCTTGTCAAAAAAAAGGGGGGCAGGGTAGTTAGAGTAAATGACCTCTAAGGTCTTCTCCAGCTCTAAATCCCAAGATCCTCCTCTGCCCATTGCTTTCATTTGAACCCATTAGGACCAAGCAAAGTAAATCTAAATTGGCTTCCACATGACATCTCTTTTTAAAAAAACAGACCTATAATTTCACTGGGGGACTGAACTCTCACAGCTCAGCACCTTCCCTGCATTTGAGGGTCTTAGAGAACTACATGGTGAAGATGAAGGGTCTTGCCAGAAGGCAAGTACAAGTGTCAGAGGCAGGATCTGAATCCAGGTGGTCCTGACTCCAAGGTCTACTCTCTAACCATTACACCAGCCTACCTCTTGCTCGTTTGCTACAAAAGGCAAGCCTAATCTAGCCTCCACATGGTAATCTCTCATATGGCTGAAGAGAGCCAAGTCTTCTCAACCAGCCAAGCTTCTTCTCCAGTGTGGGATGAAGGGACATGAGAGGACCTAAGGTGAACATTTCTTTGTGATGCTGCCGACGGTGTTTTAAGCAGACTAGTGACCTGATTGTATCTAAAAGGATGCTCTCACTCTAGAAGAGCTGCCATGTTTCTGGGCATTGGGTGGAATCAGAGCATTATTCACGGCAGGAAGGTGGACAGGAAAAAGGGCCAGCCGTGGGTGGAGAGGAGCCCATCTGTGGGCTCTGAGGGGGCCATGGCCACGTGCCCCTTTGCTCTCATTACATTTGAATAGCTGAAGAAGCTTCCTGTGTTCATTTCAACCTGCAGAAGGGACTCCTAGGACAGGGAGCAGCCCAGGGTCTTAGTTCAGCCACTAGCCAGCCCATTTCTGAGCTTGGGATTTCTCTTTTCAGCATGGCAAGCTTCAGAGGTGGCTGCCCATAGAGACTGTATTCTGGGCACAGTACAGCTGGAAAGATGCTCACGGCTTGCTTAGACAGCAGGATGTTTCCTGGAGAGTAAAAGGATTCAGGACCTGAAAGAAAAAATACACAGAGTTTGTAGAGTCTCTCTGGTGCTGGCCTCTCTGGAGGCCGGTAGAGACAAGGGACATGTCTCAGGGTATGAATGCTACATGCTAGCAGGGCTGTCAGTTGTAGTCAAGGCAGTTGGGGTCATGGGCACGGTGAGTCAGTGGAAGGAAGGCGGGGGTGATTACACTGAGAAATGCCAGCAAGTTGAGATTCAGCTGACCTCTGGACAACTTCTGTGCGGTGTGTTTCCTCCCCCATCCCTTGCCCCTGGTCATTTTTTAAAAAGACTTTTGGATTTGTTCATGCGTGTGTGTTTTAAAAATCACAATACTTTCCTGATACATGTTATCTCATGTGACTTTCCCTCAATCTCTTACTATTCGAGATCTAAAGAAAGGACCTTAAGAAGTCGAGTCTACCTGCTTCGTTTTAAAGATGAGGAAACTGAAATCCAAAGAGTGAGTAGGAACATAGACCTGGAAGGTACCTTAGCAGCCATGGGTGTCCAACGCTCTCATTTTACAGATTAGGAAACTAAAGGGAATAGACATGAAGTGACTTGCTCAAGGAAGTGTAGGAGTAAGTGACAGGATTTGAATCCAGGCCCTTTACTATAAATCCATCCAATTGCCTTTTCCACTGTACCAGGCCATGACAAAGAAAAGCAAATATGTATAACTGATCAACAAAACAGTCAAGTTTGAAAGTATAGGCTACGTTCTGTACCCCTAGTCCCCCTCCTCTCTAATAAGAGAAGGAATGGTTGTTAAATCTTCTGTTCTCCAGGGCCAAGATTATTCATTCATTCAATCAATCCATTCATCAGTAAGCACTTATTAAGTACCTATTATGTGCCAGGGACTGTTCTAAGTGCTGGGGATTCAAATACAGAAATTAAATAGTGCCTGCCCTCAAGAAGATGACATTCTATCCATCTGAATTCAGTAACTTTTTAATGCAGTTTTTGTTTACATTATTATAACCGTTGGTTCTACTGATGTTTGGGTTCTGCTATCTTCAATCTACATCATAGCAGACAAAGGTTCTCCTGAAAGGTAGAGGAGTGAAAAGGGTGCTAACTCTGGAGTCAAGGGCCTCGTTTGGAATCCTTACTCTTCTCCTTCATGCCTTCTCTGGGCTTCAATCTCCTCACCTGGAAAGTCCAGGGTTTGGAGTAGATGAGCTCAGAGGTCCCTTCCATCCCTGGATCTGTGATCCCCTGCTTCTCTGAAATCTTCCTATTCGCTGTTTCTTGTGGTGCAGCGCTAGCTACTCCATGACATTCTGTTTGTTTCAGGCGTTCCTCAGTCAGTCAACAAATATTTATTAAGCACCTACTATGTGTCAGTCACTGTGCTGATGGTACTGAAAAAGAGGGAAAGCACAGTCATAATCTAATAGAAGAGGCGACAAAGCAAAGAAAGACATACGAACAAGCTATTTATGGGATAAGTAGGAAATAATGGTCAGAGGAAAGGCACTGGAATTGAGAGGAGTTGGGAAAGGTTTCCTGTAGAAGGTGGGATTTGAGCCTGAACTTTGTGGGCAACCAACTAGTTTCCAGTTTCCTCATATGGAAAATGGGGGTGATGCTAGCCCTTACCCCTCAGAAGAGCTTTGCAAACCATTATGCTCTCTCTCTCTCTTTCTCTCTCTCTCTGTCTCTCTCTGTCTCTCTGTCTCTGTCTGTCTCTCTTTCTCTCTGTCTCTCTCTCTTTCCTCTCTCTCTCTCCCTCCCTCTTTCTCTCTCTCT